CCAGGAGTCCTGGCTCCCAGCCCCTCTGGCTCTAACCACTAGCCCCCACTCCCCTCCCAGAGCTGGGGAGAGAACCCAGGAGTCCTGGCTCCCAGCCCCTCTGGCTCTAACCACTAGCTCCCACTCCCCTCCCAGAGCTGGGGAGAGAACCCAGGAGTCCTGGCTCCCAGCCTCCCTGGCTCTAACCCGGGGTGACCAAACTGGCTCAGGAACAACATGCGGCTCCTTGTATAGGCACCGACTGCTACGAGCGCCAACTTTCCAATGTGCAAGGGAGTGCTCAACCCCTGGCTCTGCCCCAGGCCCTGCCCCCACTCCACCCCTTCCTGCCCCCTCCTCTGAGCCTGCCGTGCCCTCGCTCTTCCCCCACCCCAGAGCCTGCTGCACACCAGGGGAGGGAGGGAGGGAGCAGCTGATCAGCCGGGCTGCAGGTGGGTGGGAGGCTCTGGGGGCCGGGAGAGGGGGGAGCTGAGGGGGGGCTGCTATGGTATTACTGGGGCTCTTTGGCAATGTACATTGGTAAATTCTGGCTCCTTCTCAGGCCCAGGTTGGCCACCCCCCTCTAACCACTAGACCCCACTGGCCTTCTAGAGCTGGCGATAGAACCCAGGAGTCCTGAGGCCCCCCCTTACTTTTCACTCCCCCCCCATCCCACCTTCTTTTCCAGTGTGGGGCCTTTGCCGGCTGGCAGCCTGGGCACATGCCCTGTCCAGGGAGTGCGGTTCTGCCCACCCGCCGCTGCCTCCCTCCCCAGCCCCGGGCTGGCTGGCTGCCACCAGCCGCTCGGTGCTTCCTGCGGGCTGACGTCCTTCCGCCTCTGCCCTGCAGCACCGGCTGGTTGGGCTGCGGAGGGAGCCAACAGCAGCCGGCGCAGCCCGGTGCCTGCATCGAGCTGACCGGCCTCAGCCCTGGGAGGACAGCGGGGGAGCCCTGGCCGTGCAGGGCTGTGTGAGCGAGTGATTAGAGCAGGGGATGGCTGGGAGCCAGGACTCCTGGGTTCTCTCCCCAGCTCAGGGGGGGGGAGAGTCTATTGGTTAGAGTAGGTCATTGTTATTGACCTCCTGGGGTGGGTTCTATTCCCTGCTGTCTCCCATACTCCCCATGTGACTTTGGGCAAGTCCCTTCCTACATGCCGTGCCTCAGTTTCCCCACCTGCACAAATGGGGTCAATGATACTGAACCACCTCCCACTGGTTCGGCCTTTTGTTGCCAGCTTCCCCGGAAGGAACGTGTCCCTGCAGAGCTGTCTCAGGCTCCAGACGCTGTTTCACGATCCTGAGCTTCGCCCCCTCTCCGAGCATGCCGGGCAGCAGCTGGATCGCACTGCCTGGAGCAGCAGCATCTCCTCGGCTGGCTTCTCGGCAGCTTCCAACCTGCTGCTCAGGGAACTCGGGGGGCACAACTGCCTGCCCCTCCTGGGCCAGGCCGCCCAGCACAAACTCCTCTCACTGAAGGGAGAAGAACTGGGCCATTCAAGCCTGCTGAGCTGTGAAACACCCACACCACACGCTGTTCAGAAAAGCACTTTAATCTTCACTAACATGCCGCACAGCTGGTTATATCATCTTCAGCGACTCCATTTCTGGACAGAGCCCTGTGAAACTGACCAGCGAATCCATTCCCTGTGTTACCAGATGTGCCCATTACTTTGGGGTATGCTCATTTATTCGGGTTACTCCTCTGGGGAAGGGGGTTCTGTAATCCTGGCAATGTACTGCTTGTGTCACGTATCAGAGGGGTAACCGTGTTAGTCTGAATCTGTAAAAAGCAACAGAGGGTCCTGGGGCACCTTTAAGACTAACTTCTGTTAGTCTTGAAGGTGCCACAGGACCGTCTGTTGCTTGTGTCGTGTGTGTTTACATATGGAGCTTTACGTCTCCCTTCTGCAAGTCCCCTGCCAATGGAGCTACCCTGCAGAACCTAGGGTCCCTAGGGCTGGGTTACACCCGCCCCAGAACCGGATGAACACCCCCACACCCACACGTACATTAACAGAGCAAGTCTGAGTGGACCGGGTCAATCAGCACTGTCTGGCTGACCTTATATGTCTCTGGACTCACTGGGCTGGAGGAAGCAGCACTTTCACACTGTCTCTCCTTATATGCCCCTGGGCTCCATGGACTGGGTCAAGCAGCACTTTCAAGCTGTTACCCTTATGCGTCCAAAATTCAGCACGTCCCTATCCCCACTCCCCCAACACAATTGTACTGGCAGTAACCTACTCGATGAGCAAACCCCACAGTATTTTGGGCGCTGCAGGGATCTTTAGCTTAGGTAAAAGAAGCGTTGCTGTAGAGTGAATGGGGGAAGCTAAAAACACAAAGGAGTAAAGTTCAGCGAGAGAGAGAGAGAAGCAACCAACTTAACCATAGAAGTTATTTACTGAATAACAGTGATAACTACACAAGGAGCTAAACCAACATAACATACATGATTAAAGGTTAATACCTAAGGTAGAAAGGAAAACAGAGAGAGAGAGAGAGAGAGAAAGAGGGGGGATCTCACCGACTCCATGAGGCTTGAACTGGTCGGGGTTCCCAGGTGATGGTGGTAGCTGAGGGTCCTGAGGGCTGGAGACAGGCAGAGCCCCCAGCACGATCAGTCAGAAGATGGAGTTCCAGTGGAACTGATGAAGAGTTTGGATCTAAGCATCAGAACAGTGACTGGAGGGTGAGTAGGGATTTTTGTAGAGAAAACACAATGGTTGAAGGGAGAACACTAGATTTGTTTATAGATAAGCTAATGACTCAAGGGTTTTCTTTAGACTAGACAATAGGAGCTGATCACTCTGGGCTATGGGTGGGGTTTTCTTCCAGAGAGCTCACAATGCAACTGGGCTGCTTCAGTATTTGGATATCAATCAAAGATTCATTACTAGAATTGGTCTGATAATTGCTGAGCCGGGTGTGTGCAGGTGTAGGTTCATTAACATCTGGAGCAGAGATTCCCATGATGCAGTGCTTCCCTGCTTTTTCTGGTCCCAGAGTTCGGTGCAGTTCTCTGTTCTCCATTCTGTATACAAATTGAGATGTCTTCCTGTCCCATCTTTCATGCAGATGAGGCGAGGGGAGTTGTCTCTGCTCTCCATTCTATATGCTAATGGAGATGTCTTCATCTTGTCACCCTTGTCAGGAGGGGTCTAGGTGTGTCTCCCAACGCCCTTCACTGCTCTCTGCAAGTTTTTTCCTCTGATGGGTTTCGGTTTAAGCAGAGGCTGGGGGTGCCTTTCATAAGTCAGGCTGGATACTGCACCCTGGTTCCCCAAGAACACAGAGGTGTCTGGTATCACCTGCCCCTCTTTTCTGGTGCGGGACCAGCTCGAAACTTCCAGGCCCTTTTATTAATAAAAACAATTCAGGCCAACAGGAAACCCGTTAGCTCCTCAGTAACTAACCTACCAGGGATTTCAGCCTAGGCCCGTGGGATCATTTTAAACAATAACAGCCTGGCCCAAAGGGCCACCATCCACCCCGGCTCTCTGCACACCAAGGGAACGGGCTGGGAGGTTGCTCAGCGCTAGGACTGAATAGCTACCCTAGTTCCCTTCTCCTTCTCTCCGGTGTTAACCAGGCCTGAGTCCGGTGGAGTCAGCAGGCCTCATTCTTCACTCAATCAGTTCTGGCCTGTCTTTACCAGTAGGGCTAAGACCCATCCCGCTGACTGCACGCAGGACCAGCTGATGCATTGAAGGCCGTCGCTGGGCCATGTGGCAGAAATTACACCCCAGTCCCCTAGAAATATCTTGCCCAACAACCCCTGCTGGGAGTGGGCTCTGCGGCTCCACCTATAGCCCTGTGCCCATGCCCCATGATGATGCGTTAGTACAAGAGTGGACTTTGCCTTATGCCCGCATCACCCCCCAAAATGGGGAGGGAACTGCACCAAAGCACTG